TGGTGGTGGTGGCGGTGAGGAGTTTTTGGGAATTGAAGTAAGTGCAGGCGGTAGGTGTTTCTGCGTTGTGACTCATCGGGCAACAGGGGAGGGCATATACAAACCAGCCGTGGATTTTACGTAAATCCGGGGTTCATTGACCAGGGACTTGAGAGTTCGATACATTGGACCGGCTATTTACGAAGGGTATGTAATAATCCCGGGGACAACTATGTCGAGTGGGCGGAGAGGGGGCTCGTTGTTGTCTGTGGGTCGACGAGAGGGAAAGCTGCTTGTAGAGGGCACGTATGGAGCACGTGCATGCCCCAAACTACACGTTAACTCCGTGAAGGGGGGTCTGTTGGACGTGATTGCCATATGGCGCACGAACGCCCCCCTACAGAAGTATATATATATGGCACCCTAGTTAATGCAGGGCGTGGCCTCTGGCCCCAACTGAAGCCCACTTCTTCCGTTTCACCCCGTAAACCCGCAGCAAGAAAGAGAGGGAATGAGCGAAGCGTGTCTGGCGAAATAGGTAGGTAGGTACTTGGCCCTTCCCGCCACCGCCACGATACGGTGTGTGTGCACGGCCTTGGTGGGGGTGGTGGATTTCGCGGTCTGACAGAACGGTGTGTTGACTGGAGAAAGGGATTCCCAACGTCATACCGAGGGGGTCACACATGCTTGTCGCTTCGATTCCAAAGCTAAACTCGCTGCTACAAGTGAATTAAGTGACCCTTACGTTGCAGTCTTGGGGTTGTTTATTTCCCTAACGACGTCATCACGCCAAAAGGTGACGACGCCAAAACAGGGATAAGACCATCCGCTCAGTCGACTGAATGAAACGGATTGTGATAGCAACTCGACGAGTATCGTAGCGTTGCCTGTCTGAAGCTTTCAAGTTTTTTAGCGGTTAGTCAGCTTCAGAAATGTATCGTTCAAGCCCTTTTGCGGACGAAGCGACCATCAATCGTAGTTGACCGCGTCCAAGCAAGCGCGCGAAATTCGGTGGAAAGCCCGTGCCGGACTTCGTTCCACTTTTTTTCTCACGCAGATGACTCATTCGCGTTAAAAGGAACCGGCAAACACGCTGAGCCCTCCCCCCCTAGCCTCTCTCTTCTCCGGAAGCGTTGGCCCCGCAATCCCGCCGCTAGAGAGAGTGAGCGAGTAGTAGTGTGTCTGGCGAAAACACAAGGTTTTCGGCGCTTCGGCGCTTCGCGCCGCTTCCCGAATACACTTTCGTGTCACTTCGTGTGTAAATTTGTTGTAGCCGTGGGGGATTCATTGAGAGACCGACACTCTACAAGAATATTGACAACGGTTTGCAGCATTGTTGCTGCCCGCTCCCTCAACCCATGGAGGCAAGGTCACGTGCCGCGGCGAGCAGAGACGCCACGTGCTTCCCGGCGTACGCGGGCACGCACAGAAGAAGCCACATGTATCTGTTCGCGCATGTTTGACGACCAAGATCAAGCCCCAATTGACATATAGCACGACCAGAGCAATCAAGAAGGCATATTTTTTTTCTGCGATCCAACGTTGGTGCCCAAACAAATCCACTTTTCAACGCCGCCTCACGACCCCAGTATCTACCAATAGTACCCCCCCCTACCTGAAACTTGCTATCGTAGAACCCGACACTCCTGGGCTTATATAACACTACTCGGTGCTACTATTTGGTTCTACTGGAGTAGTTGAAGTTGCAGCCGCTCCGGTGCTCTCAGCGGCGGCGGTGGGTACACTCGGGGGGTTAACAGATTCCGCGGTTCCCCCGGCGCCAGGGGGAAGGTCGCCGCTGGGTTCCTCCGCTTTTTTAGTCGATCCCGCCGCTTCTTGTTCTTCGGCCTTGGGCACGTAGACACCGAGAGACTTCATTTCGATCCTCATGCCGGTTAGGAGGTCTTTGTTAATCATGGAGGAGATGTGGTCGGCACGCCCCTGTATACACGAACGTTAACGTTTGATGGGAAGAGAGCGGGGGGTGGGGGGGAGGGGAGAGAGAGACGGACAGAGAGAGAGCGAAAGAGAAAGAGAGAGGGGGGGAGGAAGGAGCGCGGGAAGAGAGAGAGAGAG